AGCGTTAGTTTCTTGATCTGGAAAATAGGGAGCTTTATATTACATATATATTGCCCTGCACAGTGACTTGCCCAGGGTCACCCAGCTAGTATCTTAGGCTGGATTTGAACTTGGGTGTTCTTGACTCAAAGACCAGGGCTCTATCCACTGTACCACATGTTAGTTCATTTGATCACTGGGATACATAAAGCACAAATAGAAAGGTTTGCTTCAATGGGGAGGAAGGACACCTCATCTTCCGAGACTTGGAGGAGAGAGATTGTGGGTGGTGAGTGAAAGAGAAGAAAGCAGGAATCACTTAGACCCAGATTGTGGCGGACAACCAAGATGATGAGGTGACTGGACGCTATGTCATCCAGGGATCAACTAAAGACAGTGAGAATCTTTATCTTCTCTTGGAAGAAGACTTAGGAGGAATAAGATGTCTGTCTTCCAGTATTTGAAGGGCTATCCCGGGACAGAGGAGTTAGCCACTGTGTAATCCCTGAGGACAGAATTAGAGGCACTGGGGGAAAGTTCCAGAGAAATAGATTTTGGTTCCATGTACGGATAAGTCCCTAATAATGACAATTACCCCAAAGTGGAATGGGCTGCCTAAGGAAGGTAGTGAGCTCCCCTTCACTGGGAGAATGATTTGTGTGAATTGGATTGGCAGCCTCCAAAGTCCCTCCAGACCCTGAGATTCCAAGGGACAAAGAGACAGTGTAATAGAGTGGAATGAGTCTTGGGTTCCACTCCCAAGACCTGGAGTTGACTCTTGAGTTTTTGAAATCTGAATCTTTAAGAATTTGAAAAAGATTATGGAAGAGAGGGATTAAATTTCTTCTGCTTGGCCTCAGGGGGCAGAACCAGCAGGAAGAGGTAGAAGTCTCAGGAAACTTATTGGCCATGTGACTGTGGGGCAAACCCCTTAACCTTTGTGAGCCTCAGTTTCCTCATCTGTAAAATGTCCCTTCCAGATCAAGGGGTCAATGAGTCTGTGACTTCTTCTAGGTCATCTTCCCCACAGTGGGGGAGTCTTCTCTAGGCTTCACTGGGAGAAGGGTTACTGTGAAAGTCCATGTCCTAGACCCTGGACTTTGCTGGCCACAGAAGCTTCTGCTCCCTCCCAGGGAGGGCTTGTAAAGAAAGGGCTCCGTAAACCATTCAACAGTTATGCAAAGAGGTTAAGAGATTTAGGGGTGGAGGGACCTTAAAGGTCAACAAAGCCAACCCTTTCATCTTTACAAATTAGGAAATCAAGTCCCAGATAGGGTCATGTAGTCTGAGGTGAGATTTGAACCCAGATCTTCCTAAGTTCAGATCTAGTGCTCTAGCCTCTGTACCACACTGCCTCACAGGAAAAAGTAAATATTAAGATGGTGTTTGTGGGGATCAGTAGGGCCACTGGTTCATTGCCATGAGGCAGCTAAGCTGTGTAGTGGATAGGTGTGGAGTGAGGAAGACCTAAGTTCAAATACAGCCCCAAACACTTATTAGCTCTATGACTTTGGGCAAGTCACTTAACCTTCCTCTGCCTCAGTTTTCTCAGCTGTAAAGTAGGGATAACAACAGCACCTACCTCCCAGGGTGAGGATCCAATGAGACAATATTCGTAAAGTGTTTAGCACAGTTCCTGGCACATAGTAGGTACTTGACAAATGCTTATTCCATGTGGGTTTCCCAGGTGGAGCACAGTAGGTTTGTAGGTAGCCAGGGGCGGGGGGGGGGGGGGGGGGTGCCTGGAGATGGATGTCCAGTTAGGACACGGCCAGATGTCAGGTCAAGCTTTAGGGGGTAAAGTGGGAAAGGGTTTGAAGAGGAAAGACTTGAGCTGGCCCTGAAGGCCTTGCCTGAGACTTTGTTAAGGGGAGTCTTGAAATTCCTTTGCAGGAATCTGACTCATAAGGTCTCAGAGTTAGAAGGGAGTTCTCAGGCCTGGAGTCAGAGGACTTAGGTTCCATTCTCACCTCTTGACACCATGTTACTATGTGAACTTGGACAAAGTCACTTCACTTCCATGGGCCTCAGCTTCCTCATCTGTAAAATAAGGGTTTTTGACTAGTTGAGCTCTGAGATCTACCCCTTCTAGTTCCAGATCTACAATCCTCTGATCTCAATTGGCATCTAATTTAATTCCTACCAGAAACACCCTCTACAACACCCCCAACAAGTTGTCTTTTAATCTGTTTGAATACCTCCAGTGACAAGGAACTCACTACCTTTAAAGGCAGTTCATGATCGTGGGAGAGCACACTGATTATTAAAAAGTTCTTCCTTATATTGAGCCTAAATCTGCTTCCCTGTAGCTTCCACCTGTTACTCCTGGTTCTGCCCTCTGAGGCCAAACAGAACACATCTGATTCTTCTTTCCTATGGAAGATCTTCAACTGCTTGAAGACAGATTTTGCCTTCTCCAAGCCTTCTCTTCTCCTGGTTCAATATTCCTCATTCCTTTAGCTGATCAGAGAGTTGTGCTTCCAGGACTTTCACTAGCCTGGTCATCTTTCTTGGAACAAGCCCCAACTTTTCAATGCCCTTCTAAAACATAGTGCCTGGGACCAGGCCCAGAACTCTAGCTGTGTTCTGATCGCATGTCATCTCTGGGGAATTGAGAGATCTCTGTGGGGTTGGGGGAATTGGGGTGTCTGTGGGGTTTGGCAGATCACAGCAAGGTGGAGGTGCCTCTGTAAGGCCTGAGCAATCAGTCTCTCTGGAGTCAGGAGATCTACATGGGGAATGGGGTTCTCCGTAAGGTCTGGGTGTGATGTTAGATCCCTTCGGTGGGACCCAGGCCTCTCTCTGCAGCCAAGGCCTCTTCTGGTTAGGAACCTTCTGAGCAGCCTAGGGCTGCCTTGACCCTGCCTGAAATGCCCATCAGGTATCTCCCCCCTCTCCTCTTTCCCCGTTGCTCCCCACCTCTCTGGCCCCTCCTGCAAAGGGTTAATGGCCTTCCCTACCTGCAGTTGCATTTTAAAGCTGTGAAATTAAAGCACGTAATTTATTCTCCCCACACACGAAGGAGCAATTAGTTCTAAACAGGGCTTAATCAGTCACTTCGAGATTGATTTCTGGAGCCCGGATTTGCGGGCTGCTGGCACTGTGCCAGGCAAGGAGAGGGAGGCATCGGGTGGGAGTTGGGAACCATTACATAATGTGCTGGATGGTATGTGTGTGTGGGGAGGCTGGGGAGAAGGCCCCTTATGATCTCCCACTGCCAGGACCTAGGGCAGGGACCCTAGATGGCGGGGAGGGAAGGAGAGGCTGAACCTTCTCCCTGAGGACTCCCACTCACCTTGGTCAACCCCCTCCACCCCACCTAAGAGTGGGAAGAGTCAGGTGTTTGTAGCAGGAAAGAGGGAGCTGTCCTTGGTTTCAGGTCCCTTTAGCTGGAGTCCCTTTTTTACCTCTCTTCTGGCCTCCCAGGCTCAGTCAGTCCCGCCCAACCTTACCCCACACCTCTACAGCTAGGCTTAAGGCCTCTGGGGGATCACAAGAGGCTGTGAGAACAGAACTGATCTGCTATCCCTCGACTCCTGACCTCCCCCTTAATGAAAAGTGCTCCTGCCTGGCCTCCCAGGCTCTGCACCCCACCCCCTTCCCTCCAGGAAACATAGGGAGCTGGAGAGAGGTCAGATCATCATCTCCCTGGTTCTCTCCCTCCATGATTTCAGGGAATCCCCAGGTTGCCAAGGGGGAGGGCCACTTCCCAACTCCCAAATGGAGAGCACTCCTCTCCCAAGACCTGGGACATCCCTGTGAGTATAGCAATAAGAAGAGTTCTGGCTTCCATGCCCTATATGAATTCTGGGGTCCTGGTGACTCCCGCAGGTCCAGGGATCCTGTCCTCATCCTCCCCTCTATATCCCAGCATACCCACCACCCCTCCTGCCAAGGTGAAGTCCAGGACAATATTGCCAATGAGACTTTTAGGACCAAGGTCACCTACTACCTAATTTCTCAGTTTCCTCATTTGGGTATCAGTCAACCAAGCATTTAAGAGCTTACTATGTTCCAGGCACTATGCTAAGCACTGGGGATACAGAGAAAGGCAAAAAAAACCATGAGATTGGACTAAATGACCTCCAAGTTCCCCTCTGGGTCTTAGTCTGTATGGGAGGAGGGAAATGGTGGGGGGAAGGTTGGAGGCAGAGTGCTCCTTGGTGTGCCAGCCGGTGTTGTCACACCCTGTGCCCATCCCCAAGACCCAGCCTGGAAGCCCTTTCCTTTAGGAAGATCTCTCTGGTTAGCTCTGGGACATTCCTCTGTTGTTTGTCTCCCATAACTTTGGGGAGAGGTAGCTTCTCTAAGGAACAGGAACATCCCTGCAGCCCTTGTCTACCCCTCTGTCCTCCATTTTTGGTCAAGGTGAGCCCAGTGTGGGGAAGGGAGGCTTGGTGTTCAGGCAACTGGGGGTAGGGGTGGGGAGGGAGGGATGGTCTTCTCCCTCCTGATCCCCCACTGACCAGAGCTCTTCTTTCTCACCTTCCCTTCCCTTTTCTTCCTCTCCTGATCCCCATCTTCATTTCTCTCCCTTTCTCCTACACCTAATTTCTTTCAATCTTTTTCACTAATTTTCTTCTTCCCATCTCTCCTAAATAATTCTCTCTTTCTTCCTCCCTCTCTCCATTTCTCCTCTCCATCTCTTCATCTCTCTCCCCACCTCTCCTCTCCTTTCTCCATCTCTCCCTCTCTCCCACCCTCTCTTCTCCTTTCTCCATCTCTCTCCCCACCTCTCCTCTCCTTTCTCCATCTCTCTCCTACTCTCTCCTTCCTTTTTTTCTCCTCTCCTTTCTCCCTCTCTCCCCACCTCTCCTCTTCTTTCTCCACCTCATATTTCTCTCCATCTCTCCACTCTTTACCCGCTCTTCATCTTTCTCTCCATCTCCCATCTCTCCTCTATGTCGTTTTTCTTCTTTCTCATTCTCTTGCTATCTCTCCCCCATTATCTCTCCCCACCCATTATCTCTCCCCACCTCTGTCCTCATCATTCCCTGCTTTCTTCTTCCTCCCCCCTGCAGAACTCCATTCGGCACAACCTGTCTCTGCATACCCGTTTTATCCGTGTGCAGAACGAGGGCACAGGCAAGAGTTCTTGGTGGATGCTGAACCCCGAGGGTGGCAAGACGGGCAAGACGCCCCGGCGCCGTGCCGTGTCTATGGACAATGCCAGCAAGTATCTGCGCGTCAAGGGTAAGGCCAACAAGAAGAAGCAGATTCAGGCAGTCGGGCCTGAGCGGGGGCCCCACAGCCCACCAGGAGCCCCCCCACCTGCTGCCAAGTGGTCATCCAGTCCTGTCTCCCACGGCCCTGGTCCTGGCCCAGGCCCAGCCAGCGGTGATGACTTCGAAGCCTGGGCTGACTTCAGAGGTCGACCCCCACCCCCACCCCCACCGGGGTTGGGCTCCCGCATCTCCCCACTGCTGGCGGGTGGGGGGCAGCCGGATGAGCTGGAGGATGAGGAAGCAGCCCCTTCCTCTCCACTCATGTACCCTAGCCCCTCGAGTGCCCTGTCACCAGCTCTGGGTGCCCGCTGCTCTGTGGAGCTGCCCCGCCTCACTGACCTGGCTGGGCCTCTCAGCTTACATGAGCCGGGCCTGGCCGACAGCCTCCTGGATGACCTCCGGGACAGCTATGGTCTGAGCCCCCCGCCGCCACCCGGCTTGCGGGCCCGTGTCCCCCCAGCCCACGGCTACTCCTTCAGTGCCAAGTGTGGGGGTGTGGCTGGTGGCAGCAGTGGCTTGGGGGGTTCCTACTGCGGAACTATCTACAGCCAGCCTGCCTTGGGTCCGCTGCGCCGCCTGCCCATGCAGACGATTCAAGAAAACAAGCAGGCGGCCTTCGCCCCCTTCCGGCCTGGTCCCTTGCAAGGCCTGCTGGCCTCACCAGCTGGGCCACCCCCACCGCCCCCAGCCAGGCCCCACAGATCTGGCTCCCTCCTGGGCGGGGGCCCTGGGGAGCTGGGACTCGCTGCGGCGGCGGCAGTGTATCCAGCCCATGGCCACCCCCCGCCCAGCCACAGTGCCTTAGCTCACCCCATCAGCCTTATGACGCTGCCTGGCGATGCCTGCGGTCTTGGAGGACTGGCCCACCCAGGCCATCCAGCTCCATATGGGAGTGGAGGTGGGCCGGCAGGGCCCACAGGCCTGCTGGAGGCAGCGCTGCAGGGCCCTTACACAGCAGGCACTGGGGGCCACATGCCGCTGGCCGGCCAGGACCGCTTCCCTGCTGACCTCGATCTGGACATGTTCAGCGGCAGCCTAGAGTGTGACGTTGAGTCCATCATTCTCAATGACTTCATGGACAGCGATGAGATGGACTTCAATTTTGACTCGGCTTTGCCCCCACCACCCAGTGGCTTGGCTGTGGCCGCCCTGCCCAGCGGGCCCCCACCCCCCAACCAGAGCTGGGTGCCTGGCTGAAGGAGGCCCCAGGGGGGAAGGGGGGGCTCCAGGACTCCTGCTGACTCCTTGGGATGGTTCAGGAGCCAGCCCCTCCCTCCTGGGCCCCACATCTCACCACTTGGACTGTGAGAGCTCCCGGAAGGGCCTGCCTGGGCTGGGCTAGGCTTGGGAGACTCCGTCTTGCTGCTGCCATGGGGAGGAGAGGGGCTTAACCCAGCTTCCCCAAGCTCCCCGCACATCCCTCAAGGGTCCCCTGGCTCCTCCCTGCTGCAGGGCTCCCCCCTCTCCCTAGCCCTTACATGGAACACTCGGTCTAAGCCCTAGTAGCCCAGACTCCTGGGTCCTAGAGAGCCAGACCACAAGGGGCTGCAGGGAGGAGGGACGGCCCCAGCCCTCTGCCCTCCCCCTCCCCCTTGGCCTCACCCCCAACTGGGCCTGTCTTGTGCCGCTGTGCAGTACAGTGGGGTTGTCGTGTCTGCTTTGTGTGGTGATAAGCGTTGTGTTCCCCCTTGGGTCAGGAAAGGCTGAAGAGGCCGGTGGGCTAGGGGCTGAGGGCTGAGGGCTGGGGGAAAAGAGGGGGTGGGCAGACTGGACTGGAGTGAACTCTGGAGGCTGGTGGTCCTGTGCCCCAGGGCTCCTCCCAAGTGCCCCTCAGGGAGAATCCCTACGTAGTGGGTCCCTTCCCAAGCAGCCCCCACTGCTGGCCTGGCCAGGCCCTCTGCCTGCTCATACCCAGCTCTCCCTCGGCTCGTCCTGCCAGGCCCTCCTCCAAAATTCCCCTTCCTTAAGCTCCCCCCCCAACACCAACCCTCCCCCATATTTATAAGTGTCCAGTCTGGGTCTGGGGGGGGGAGGGTGGGCGCGGTTGTTTTCCCGCGCAAATATCGTAGGCAGTGTACCGTGGCCGTGCCGTTAGCGTGTGTGTGCGTGTGCGTGTGTACCATGTAAAGGCCGTGTATAGTGCATTGTACAGCATATTTTCATGAATAAAATTGTTTTAAATATTCTCAGGGTGTGGGCTCGCTGGTATGGGGATTCTAGCATTCTTGGGGGCTAGAGAAGGAGAGTGGGGGTGGGAGTCCGGGGAGGACTAAGCCTCGGGCCTGGCCCAGCATTACCCAGCCATTTGAGTGCATGCAGAAACCTCTGGGTTCTCACAGACCTCAGCATCCTAGCCCAGGTTCCTTGTATATGTGTCTGTGTGTGTGTACGTGTACCTTTGTTGGTGGCCATGTGTGTCTGGGTACAGGATGGTGAATTGGTCTGGGTAAAGGCAAGCATTTCCACTCCTGTCATGAGAGGTTCCTGATGAGGGAGGTTTTTGGCTCTGTGGGAGGAACTCTCTCCCTGTCTTCTGCACCCTGCCCCTCCACATACCACAGATGCCCTGACCCAAGGCCTCAGTCCAGCTTGGGACTCCTGAGGACAGGGTGCTATCAGCATGCATCTGCACTGGGGGGAGGGAGAAGAAGAGAGAGAACCACTCTGCTCCCCCCCCCCCCCCTTTCCCCCGCCTCCCTCCAGGCCGAAGGCCCCTAAGGAAGGGTAAGGCTGCAAACCCCAGCAGCTCCCCCCCACCCCCGACTACACACACCAAGTACCTTCTCCCTGGAGCCTCAGCTGCATGATTTATTCATAAAAAAGCCATTATTTATGCCAAAGAGAGAAGACAGGATGGGTTGGCTTTTTAAGTGCCTATAATGCATTCTCGGGTCCTGCAGCCCAGACTCTTCCTCAAGAGGCAATTCATGCAGCGGAAAGAGCCAGGACACCTGGTCCTGCCTCTGCCACTTAGGGGGTGACCTTGGGCAAGTCACTTCCTTTCTCTGGGCCTCAGTTTCCTCCTCTGCAAAATAATAAGCATACATTTATATAGCATTTAAAGTTTTCAAAGCTCTTTACATTTGGTATCTCATTCAATATTCATAACAACCCTAGGAGGTAAGTGCTTTTATTGTCCCTATTTTACAGATGAAGAAACTGAGGCTGAAAAAACGGTTAAGTGATTTGCCTAAGAATGCAGTTAGTGAATGAACTGAGGTCTTCCTGACTCCAAGATTAACACTGTTCACTATGCCACCTAGCTGCCTGCATGAAGGGGTTCAGCTAGATAAAATCTAAGTCCCTTTTCATTCTGACATGTTCTAAGAGCCCTCCCAGCTCTGACATTCTGTGTTCTAAGCCTAGCTCTGACATTCTGTGTTCTAAGGGTCCTCCCAGCTCTAACATTCTGCTGTTCCTCTCCACAGGCCCAGAGTGAGAATACAAGCTGAGAGGTGTTTGTTGGCAGATGGGGGAATGGCTAGGGGCGGGGGGCCAGAACAAGACAGCCATTCTGGGTCCCTTCTCTTATCTGTCCATTCAAGGCCCTACTGATGCCTCTCCTTCCACCTGCTGTATCAGCCCAGTTTTCAAGGCCTGTCCTTGTCCTGGGGATCGGGACACCATGGAACTGGTGCGTCCCCTAGCATTCTGCTCTCCCTAGAAAAGGGATCCATGTTGGAGAAAGGATGAACCTTCTCCCACCTTGTGTTGGGGGTTTGCTCAAGAGATGGGAGGTTTCAGTTCACGGATTCCATTCTGCTGCCATTATTTAGCTAGGTGTAACTCAGCCACTTTCCAAGTTCAGGCCCTCCCAATGCCAGGCTCTGAACCCAGAAGCCAGCTCAGCCTCCAGCCCACTCCAGCCCAGAGCCACCATCACCCCAGAACAGAGAACTTCAGAAATATCCTTCTCTCTCCCCCGGGAAACCCTCTCTCCCCACCTGCTCCTTGGGTTCTAGCTGCAGCTTGCTTGGTACGTGGGAGGCCAGGCTCTAGTGGGGAGAGCCCAGTGCTTGGAGGAGTGGATCTGAAAATAACATGGAGTTCTCTCTGGGATTCTTGTTCCTGAAATGGGCTTTGCTAGCAGGTGGGGAAGGAGGCGTACACAGACCCTACTGCCTGAGGATGCCAAGAGACCACACTTGGCAAAATCCATCCCCCTCACCCATCCCAGACAGTCATACTTAGAGTTACACAGATATACCCCCTACACTTAGAACACCAAATGTCAGATCTAGAAAAGTTCTAGAACATAGACTGCCAGAGCAAGGAAGGATCTTAGAACATAAATATCAAAGCTAAAAAATGGAACTTGAAAAATAGAATTGCTGGGATGGAAGGGACACAGAATGTCAGAGCTGGAAGGGCCCTTAGAACACAGAATCTCAGAGCTGCGTGCGGGGCTTAGAATATAAAATGTCAGAACTGGGAGAAGTCTTGGACTAAAAGAATGATAGAGCATCAAATGAAATATCAGAGCCAAGAGAGAGATTAGAGAGCATCTTTTCCAATTGAGCTCATATTCTTCCTTCCTCTTCTATCTCTGTCTCTCTGTTTCTGTCTGTCTGTCTGTCTCTCTCACACACATACATACACGCACGCATATACGCACACACATACATGCACTTACATACACGCACACACATACATGCACACATACATGCACGCACCTACATGCACACACATACATGCACGTGCACACACATGCACATACATGCACGCACACACACACTCTACGGGCTCTTACACAGAGGCGCACTTAGGAAGTCTCATCCTCCTCACAAATTGCTCTTCCCACTCATCTCCTCTGGGTTTGAGAATCTTCTCTTATGTAAACACGAGTTTGGAGACAGAGGGAGGGCATCTGGAGGCTTCTGTACAGGTGACCTGCTCCCCCCCGCCACACTTAGGCAAGCCAGGCATCTCTGGTCCCAGCAGGCAAGGGGTTAAAGCCATTTGGTGGTAGAGCCAGAGCCATTAGGCCCAATAATTATGAAATTATCAAGGTGCTCAGGTGACTGCTAATCTCACACATACTGTTCAGCTCCCCGGCTAATGAGCTGAAGAACTCCCGGGCCTCATCCTTCTTGTTGAATGGTGCCCTGCAATTAATGAGCTTCCTGAAAGCCCAGCAGTGCGGGGGCCAGCGAGGGGCCAGGGGAGCTAGCAGGCAGCTTTTTCCTTTCTTCTACCCCACTGCTCCCTGGCCCCCAAAGCTACAGTCCCACTAGCTAGTTTTCAAGGCTGGGCCTCCCTGCGGTCTGCACAGCTGGGTGGGCCCTTAGAAGGCCAGAGATGGAGGTGAGGGGCAGGGGAGGGGGAAGGAGGAAGAGAAGGATTTAAAGGAAATAGGTAAGGAACAGATAATTGGGGCATTGGAACGTGGTGAACTTGGAGGGTAACTGGCCAGTTTCAGGGTCCACATGATGAAGACTATATCAGCCTGACCCTATAAAGCCAACCCAGAGAGAACCCTAGAGAGCGGGAGACCCCACGTGGAGAAAGGAGGATGGTGATGATGAATGATAGTCATGGGGGTGGTAAAGATGGCGGTTGCAATGCTGGCAATGGTGGTGATGGTACCCAGATCCTTGCAGGTACCAGAAAAAGACATAGCTAGGACTCCCGGGGTTCCTGGATCCAATACAGGCCTGGAGTTGGTGAGAACAAGGTATCTTTTGATGACAATTCTCCAGGGACCCTCAAATCCTAGAGCTGGTGAGGCCCCAAAGAGGGCATTTGGTCTAAGCTCCTATTTCCAGGCTAGTGGGACCTGACTGAGTGAGAAGGGGATAGCTAGTTTTCTTTCTAGGACATCTCTTCAGGGTCTCTGGTTGGAGTTAGGAATCTTGTCATCTAATCACTGACTCCACCAGAAATGACACAAAGACAAGCTAAAGGACTCTTGCCTAGGCACATTGTAGGCAGGATATGGCTTCCTTAGAAGTGGAGTCAGTGAGCACTCATGAGGTGCGATAGGAAGCCTCCTCCAACCATTCCCCAAGTATTACTTCACCAGCCCCAACTAACCATTCAGGGTCTCCCAGCATAGGGGTTGCTCCTTTGGGCTGAAATTTAACAAAAAAGGGCCAAGTGAGGAGGACCTGTGAAAATACAGAAAGGGAAGGAAAGAAACCATTAATCCCTCCTCTCCCAATATTCTACTTACACTCATTTAATTAACCCATCTTCACCCATTGGCTCAAGCTCAAGCATCAACATACTGTATTCTCTGGTTTAGACGAGATGGCAGCTGAGATCCCTCCAGTTCTCAAGCTCTGTGCTTCTATAAAGCCACCCTCACCCCTCACCCTCACCCATTAACTTATTCACACTCATTAATCCATACTCATCGATTATTAACCTTACCATTGACTCACCATCTGCTCATGCTCCATCAACCCACCCTCACCTGTAGCACATGTACATGGAATGGGAGTGCCCTAAGTCTCATGCAGAGATGAGTGTTTGCACACACTTGTGCAGAGATGCATGCATGCATGCACATCTAGGGACACAGATCCACATCCCAGGGGACACGGCAGCAGGTGAGTAGACAGGCACGGCTTGCAAAGCGGGCCTCCCCCGCCGCTGGGAGCAGATGCTGACAAGTGCTGTCTTTGAGGGGGCCTGAGGGAGGGGAAACAGGAGAGGAAGGGGATCGGTGAGGGCCCTATTGTGCTGTTGAGCCTCCCAGGGGCTGAGGGCCTCTGCTCTGAAGTGTGCAGGAGTGAGGGGTTTCCCAGCTCCACCTCCCATGCCCTCCCTGGAGAAGAAACCTTGCTATCTTGTCAGGGACTCATTAGAGCTGAGGACGAAGGACAAGAGGGGAAGTTGCCGAGCCTTTGATGCCACTCGAATGCGAGGATGTCGGCTGTCTCCCCCCCTCCTCCCTCCCCCTGCCTGCCTGCCAGCTCCGCCGCCAAGGAGCCCGGGAAGCCGCCTTTGCCAACTGGCGATAAATTTCATGAACATCATAAACGTA